ATTTCAGATACTACAGGCATAAGTCTATTTCTGTTGTTTCCAGTAGAACCATCAGAATTGGGCAAATTATTAAACTTTCTAGATGATATGTAGCATTTGCCTTTGTGGAATTAATAGTAGGACAAATGGAGATTTAAGTTGATGATCAGCTGGAACTTCATCATGGTTCTAATTTATCATATAACCAAATGAACCAAGTCTAAATCTATAGTTGAGTTTCTTGTGAGTTTTATGAATGGATTTAGCTTCCTTAGAAGCCAGTTGTAGCTCAGAAAAAAAGAAGAAATTTAGCACATGGGCCAAATAAGGAAGTATAAGGTCAGAGGCAGAGGGAAACCATTACATTACTTTCAAAAGGCTTACTGATTTGGAGGGAAAATTTCATGAAAACTTCCCTCTTTAATGCACAGTTGACTCTTGAACAACATGGATATGAAGGTCCACTTATATGCAGATTATTTTCAATAATATGCTTAACAGTTTTTCATAGATTTGTAACAATTTGAAAATACATTTTTATTCTTTCAGCTGACTTTATTGTAAGAATACAACAGTATATAATATGTATAACATACAAAATATGTGTTTATGTTATCAGTAAGGCTTCCAGGCAACAGTAGGCTACTCAAAGTTTTTAAGGAATCAAAAGATATATAATTTTGGACTGCATGGGATTGGTACCCTAACTCCCATATTGTTCGAGGGTCCACTGTGTCTGTAACTCAATCCCACAGAACCAGTTCAAAATGAAGCTTTAGCTGTGTCTAGGAAAATAGAGAAAACCAAGTAAGGGCAAGAGGGGAAAATAATTTTAAGTTAGTGTGAAGTTTGGGGATTGGCAGGATGGAGAGTCAAAGAGATGACAATGTACTTAGGTTGCTCAGGGCACAGTGAGCAGGGCAGTTTATTTGGAAGGAGTGCAACGTGAATGATGCAGAAATAAACATCTATGCTCACATTTCCTAGTACATGGAAAAGATTTTATCCTTGGTTTCTAGGTATGGAGTTGCTGGGTCAGAAAGCATATGAATGCTGAACTTCCCAAGACAATGTCAGACTGTTTCCTAAAATGACTGTACCAATTTATACCACCATTAACAATATATTAAGAGATCCTGTAGATCCAAATCCTCTCAAATGCTTGGTATTGTTTGATTTTTTTGTCTATCAAATGGCTGTAAAATGATACATCAGTATGCTATTTATCTTCATTTCCCATGATAATTGATTTTTTTGTATATGTGTAGGCCATATATATTTCTTCTTCTATCGAATGCCTGCATATGTCTTTCTCTCATTCTTCTTTTGAGTTATTTACAGGTATTTTTTAAAGATTCTCAGTACTAACTCTTTATCAGTTGTGTGTATTACAAGACATTATTCTAGCTTGGAACTTATCCTTTTACTTCAGATTTCTTTGGTGAACAAAGTACTGATTTTCATCCAAGGTAAATTCATCAACATTTTATCTTGATTAGTATATGTTTTATTGTCTCCCTTAAGAAATGCTTTCCCACCCCAAGATCTAATAGATATCTGCTCATATTTTATACTAAGAGGGTTAAAGTTGTTTTGACATTAAGTCCTTCAGCTGTACTGATTTTGGTGAGGGTTCTACTTAGTTTTCCATATGGATAACCATTTTTCCTCCTCCATTTACTGAATATATGTTTCTTTCCCCACTGATCTGACATGCCATCTCTTTCATAAAACGATGTCCATACATGTATGGCTCTGCCTCTGGGCTCTGTTCCTCATCCACTGAACAACTCATTTGTTCCCTCCATGCTTTCTAAAGTGCCATGTTTCATAACAGACCCTCATGTCTGGTAGGGCAAATCTCACCTTCCTATTCTTCTTCAGAAGTGACCAGGCCATTCTTTTTGGCTCTCTGGTCTGACACATCAATTTTAGAGCCATCTTACTAAGTTTCATGAAAAACTCTGTGATTTTGATTAGAGCTTCCCTGAACCAATAGATGAACTGGGAAAGAGTTGCCTTCCTATCCAGGGACAAGGTACCTCTCCATTTATTTAGGTTTTCTTTAACGCCGCTTAATAGTTCTTTAGAGTTCTCCCTACAGAGGCACTGCATGTCTTTTGTTAAGATTTATTCCTAAATCCTTCATATTCTCTGATCCTATTATAAATGTTTTCTTTTTACGTAGTTACATTTTCTAGTTGTTTGCTGGTACACAGAATTGTAGCTGATTTTTGTGTTGGATAACCTCACATCCAACCATTTGTTACTCCCTTCTATTATTTATAATTCATATGAAGATTCTTTAGGATGTGTCTATGAAAAAAATCATATTTTTTATGTAAAATCATTTTTATAGGTAAAAAATCATATTCATAAAAAATGAGTGATGTATCCTCCTTTCCAATCCTTATGCCTCTAATTAATTTTTCTTATCCTACTGTGCTACAACTCATATGTAACATTTTCAAGTGTTGTTCCTCAGAATTCCAAGATTCTGGAGGTGCTTCAGGGGTTCTGCACAGATTTGCCTCCAATGTCTTTCAAAAATATTTACCTATTTTTAAATCTCATAAAGATTTTTTAAAAATCAAAATTCAGTTTGATTTTTGTCCTGATGCCCTATCAGTTCATTCTTCCTGTTCCTCCTGGTACTTTGCTTTATCTTCCATAACTTTAGGTCCATTTTCCCATGCTGAATCTGATGTCTGTCATTACCATTTTCTGCTCTCCAATCTCAGTGTTCACACACAACTACAGGGTCCATGTTCTCTGACTCCACAGAGAGCTGGAGACAAACTCAGAAAACAGGAACACTGACTTATGAAAACGCTTTCCTAGCTACCAGAATGCCACATTCGTCATAGGGCAGTGATAAATACCTGAATTTAACTATATCCTCAGAGGATAAACTATCTAAACTAAAACACAAACTAGGAAAGGACATTGGAAAGATGGAATCTTTAAAGCTGGAGATACAGTTGAGTTTGTGGCAGAGGTACATACATATTCGGAATTTTAGGCAACCACATTTGTAACAATAAAACCAATACTAAAGTAATATTTATGTTCTACTTTTTATTTGGAAAGGTCACTTAATGAAAATCAATCATCAAAATATAATTCTAGAAGTAAGAAAGTGGAAAAGATTTAATCATAGAAACTGACCTCAATGGCAAGAACATACCTGCTACCACTCATTACATAGCCAGAGCACTCAAATGATGCAATTTCTTCACTTGTCAAGCCAATTTCACCTCTTCGTGGGATCCGTTTTCCAGCTTTTACATATTCAGTCATTGCTGCACCTTTACCAGTTAGCATGGCATGGCCATAGCTACAAAGTAACTCAGAATTCAGAAAAGGTTCATTACAAAAAGTTGATCTTCTAAACTTGTTCACCATGTAAGAACTTGTTCATCATGCTTCAGAAGATTGGAGACTGTTGAGAATTAGGCTTGGGGTGGATTAATGATTGTGCATTGAGTCCCCTATACAGAATTTTATTGTTGTTAAAAACCATATGATCAATAAATATGAGAGATGCCCTCTCAAAAAGAAAATATTGATCTAAATAAAGAAAGCACAAAAAAACCACTTTCTCTCATCAAACATTAGGAAAAAGTGTTGCTGAGTGGCAGCATGCTGGGAAAACCAATATTAATTTACTTTAATTAGTGAACATGGCACTGTGACCGAAATAACTATCCAGAAATACAGACATACTTTGGAAGAACAAAGAACTATGGTATTGAGTAGAGATTCATGGTTTACAATTATGGATGAACTTATCCCTATAGACCTTGAGTTTATGGCTTCTGTCTCTGGTGAATTCATTTTCCCTTAAAAAAAAAGTAAAGAAATAATATATCTCTGGAAGCAACCACAGTGTCCATCAAAAGGTGACTGAATAAAGAAGATGTGATACATATAGACAATGTAATATTACTCAGCCATAAAGGAAGAAAGAAACCAAACCATTTGTGACAACATGGACAAATAACCCAGGCAGAGAAAGACAAATACCATATGACTTATTTGTGGTATCTAAAAATAATACAAAACAAAATGAACAAAACAGCAGTAGACTCAGAGACACAAAGCTAAGTGACTCGTGGTTACCATGGCGGAAGGGTTGGGGTGGGTGAGTGGAGAGGGTGAGAGAGATAAAGGGGCACAAAAATCTCAATCATAATATAAATTGGTCATGGGGATGGAAGTGCAGCCTGGAGAATATAGTCAATGATTCTGTAACATCTTCATATGTTAACAGATAGTAACTGCACTAGTTGGGGTGAGGATTTAATAATGTGTTTAACTCCTGCAGTACTGTGGTGTATACTTGAAACCAACATAATATTGTGTATCAACTATACTTGAATGAAAAAGAAAAATATATCTCAAATTTACATACCCTTCAGACTTATAACCAATAATAATGCTATATAGTAACAACTATTAAGGTTCATTCAAGGGGACTTTAAAAACTACCATCCCTTCACTCAATTCACTGAATACTTCTTGAATATTTATTAAACTAAAATCCTGTAATATAAAAGTAATATCTGCTCTTGTGGAATTAACATATTTATAAGGATATTAATAGCAACACAAAATAGGATATACAATACACTGCACAAAAGAAATAGAAAATGCTGTGAAGACTACAGGATTAAAGAGTAGTAGGAATCATACCTTCCTATGGAGAAAAGGTACTGGGAATCTGCACATGTCCCCTCCTTTTTAAAAGGGCTTTGAAGGAGGGTAAGGATTTTAACAGGATGATACTGGAGGCAGTAAATAAACTAGGGCTAGGAATAGAAAGGAAGGCATGTTGGGAGGAGAAATAAGGTGAACATGGCACAATGCAGGAAAGTGAACAGTAAATACAGGGAAGTTTTAGTTCTGCTCAGTTGGAACCTGGGGTATAAATAAAGGAATAGGAGATAAGCTTAGAAAGGTAAGTTTGGGCCATACTTTTGAGAAGGTACTGTAGATATCATAAATAAACTGTTACTTACTTCAGAGGTTTATCATCTTGAGAGGCAAGTGTTTTTAGAGCCTCTGAGCCAATTAATTCTGAGGGTTCTTCAGGTTCTGCATGAAACATGTTCAGAAACATACTCACACTTTGACTACTCAGTTAGTATTCCTCCTGGGTTTTGAATCTGGGTCTATCAGAAGCACCTACTTGATCAATCCTTGGAGGGACACTCCAGAAAATCTTCCTGAGAATCTTTAGAGCTTGAATCACTGGAATATTTTCTGCTCTTCTTTGATTTCTTTTTCTTGTATTTTTTCCTATAATGATTATAATTTGATACAAATTTACTTAATATTCCCATGTTAAAGGCCATCTCATTTTTTCAAGGCAATGAAAAGACTGATTAAAATGATTTTAACTCTCATCTTATTCAAACTTGTTAAAGAATTTTAATTAAAAATTTTTCTAACTTATTTAACTAAATATTTCCCTGTTAAAAAGATCCCTACAGGGACAAATGAAATACAATTTTCATGTTACAGAAAGATAATAGAAATAAAGTGTTTAAAAAACAGCTTTTACCAATTTGAGCATCAATAATTTAAAGTGTAATAGCTTAAAATATTATCAAATGTGTGTTCATAATGATATTAAAAAAACCAAATCATTATTTTGAAAACTCATAAAACAAAAAAAATATTTGAAGTAAGCCATTATTGTGCCCTTCTTATATAATCTATATCTCATGGTAACCAAATAGCTGAGGGTAGGCTTTTCTTTCAGAATTATGGCACCTAATAAATGAAGAATGCAAGCCAGAATTAGACTATTACCATTTTGCAATCCCACTTAGGCAATGAACATCAATGGCTGTTAGTAGGACAGAGACATCCAGACATAATTTTCCTCCTGATAGAAGTATGCAATACCACCTAAAAAGTATTCCTGCCAAAAATTTACATCTGAACCCCATCAAGTCCAACGACCAATCTATAGGAAATACAAAAGACAGAGAACATGTTAAAAGGACACGATAAGACTATGATCAGCAAAATCCATACTGCAGGAATGTCTAAGTTAAATGACTTGATTTCTTCAATGAATAAAATGCAAGAACAAAAAAGGTGAACATATTGATTTAAGGATATGTACAAGATACATCAACCAATTGCACTTTCAATCCTGATTGGAATGAACTGAACAAAAAACTGAGAACTGACAAATTACTGTTAAATATTTCAGACATGATAATAGTATTGTGGTTATGGTTTTTTAAAAAAAACAATGTCAATCTTTTAGAGAAACATGATGGTTTATGGATGAAATGATATCTGGGATTGGTTTCAAAATAATAGGGGCAATGGAGACTTCCCATGAGTTGATAATTATCAAGCTGGGTGATACTTACATGGCAGATTATCATATTATTTTACTTAATATCTTACATAATTTTATATATATTTGAACTTTTCATAATAAAAAGTGAAGGAAAAAACTGACAATTTGCGTTTCTTTTTTTCCCTTTTTCTTGGCTTTCTTTGCTCTCCTTTTTTGCATCTTCATCTTCAAATTAAACCACATTATATTTAAAAAAATTAAACTCAAAACCCCAAAAACTTTTCAGTAGATAAATATCCTATTGCCCTATTTGTTGAAACATAGAAATAAATTCAAACATTTATTGCTACTCATCACAAAATGTGCTAGTCACTGGGGACACAGAATTAAAGTCACACTAAGTATTCAGTGATACAGGACATTATTATTAATTCTACTGTATGAGATAGTAGTATTGTGATTAAGTAGGAAATATCCTTGTGTTCTAGAGGTATATATAGAAATATTCAGGATAGTACAGTGATATTTATAATTTACTTTGAATATCTCCACAGAAACTCACATTTGAAACAAATATTTCAAAATGCTAACAAATGTTAAATCTTGGGTGCTCTGGGCATACAGAGGAGTCTCAAAAGCAGGCTTATTTGGGAAGGTTGATTGAGGAATAGTTGCCCAGGAGAAGGTGATTCTTAAGCTATTTCTTGTAAAAATCAGTTTTTTTTACAAACGCAATGCACACCCATTGCCGAGATGAGTAAGCCAAGCCACATGCAGGGTCTGCTGTCATAGGCAGATAAATGCTCTGTGCCAAGTAACAGAATCAAGAGAAAGGCCATGGAATATTGAGGAGACAGAAAGTAGTTCTCAGGCTACAGGATGCTGCAAGAGAGAGACCCAGGTCTATGTGATTACTTAAGCATTGGTCAGGGCCCAACTTCACCCTGATGGCTATGGAGAGCTACTGAAGGACTTTAAGCAGGGGACTGACCTGCTCAGATTTGTGCTTTACAGAAGTTCAGTCTTCTGGCAGTGAGGAAGAAAAGTGACAAGGGGGGCCAGGAAACCCTGGTGACATCAGAGGAAGGAGCACCTTTGGGTCATGTGTCCCCAGTGGAGGTGCCCTCTGTCCAGCATCAGTAAGGATAGGGCACAAAAGGATGGCTTATTGTAATGTACCACCCTACAGGAGGTGTCTTTCAAAATCAGATGCCAGGAAGTGGTCTTTTACAATGTGCCTTTTTGAAAACTGCACAAAGGTGCCCCTGAGTGTGAGAATTTCACAGAAGAGCTGCTCCGCTGGGCAGACACAGCCTGTATGGTCTGAATCAGCACCACGCATCTCAGAACCCAACCCCAACTTGCTCCAGTGCTACATGCCTTGTGTGATTAAACTGATCTGGAGCCATACTGCTTAGGTGTGAATCCCAACTCTGTGTTCCTGAGTGTGGTACTTAGAATCTTCTCTGTGCCTCCATTTCCCATCTCTAAGATGTATCCTATAGTTACCACTTTGTGTACTGAACAGCAATAGTGAATATCAATCACTTAGAAGGGTGGCTGGCACAGTGAGCAAGTGTTCAAAAACTCTTGTCCCTTATTGCTTTTTTAAGAACCTTCCTCTAAAATAAGCTTTAAGAACCACAACTTGGTTTGAAGCTAGGTTTGCAGAATGATGCTGTATTTCTTACCACTGGAGTCTGTTTCAGAATCAGAGTGACTGTTACTCTTGTCAGAATACTTGAATACTTCTTATGTTTTCTTTTTTTTTTGAGAGGGCATCTCTCATATTTATTGATCAAATGGTTGTTAACAACAATAAAATTCAGTATAGGGGGGTCAACGCTCAATGTACAATCATTAATCCATCTCAAGCCTAATTCTCGTCAGTCTCCAATATTCTGAAGCATAACAAACAAGTTCTTACATGGTGAATGAATTCTTACATAGTGAATAAATTCTTACATGGTGAACAGTACAAGGGCA